ATGAACACTTTCATCAACTGTGATAAGATTTATGAGTCTAACACCTGTATGTCCACAATTACCACCATTTTTATATGCCCGAAAGGGCATATTATGTTATACCCCCTGGCGTCCGTCCGTCCGTTAGCAATTTGGTTTCCGGAGCATTACTTAAATTCTATTTGGCCCACAATGTTCAAACTTCATAGGATGATTGTCCATATTGGGAAGAAAAACCCTTTTGATTTTGGGGTCACTAGGTCAAAGATCAAGGTCACTATTACCTTAAAACTGAAAACAGTTTCTGTCCGTTAGCAATTTTCCGTCCGTTAGCAATTTGGTTTCCGGAGCATAACTTAAGTTCTATTTGGCCCACAATGTTCAAACTTTATAGGATGATTGTCCATATTGGGTAGAAGACCCCTATTGATTTTGGGGTCAAGAGGTCAAAGGTCAAGGTCACTATTACCTTGATACTGAAAACAGTTTCCGGAGCATAACTTAAGTTGCATTTGACCAACAATGTTCAAACTTTATAGGATGATTGTCCATATTGGCTAGATGACCCCTATTGATTTTGGGGTCACTAGGTCAAAGGTCAAGGTCACTATTACCTTGATACTGAAAACAGTTTCCGGAGCATAGCTTAAGTTCCATTTGACCCACAATGTTCAAACTTCATAGGATGATTGTCCATATTGGGTAGAAGACCCCTAAAGATTTTGGGGTTACAAGGTCAAAGGTCAAGGTCACTATTACCTTGATACTGAAAACAGTTTCCGGAGCATAACTTAAGTTCCATTTGGCCCACAATATTTAAACTTCATTGGATGATTGTCCATATTGGGCAAAAGACCCATATTGATTTTGGGGTCACTAGGTCAAAGGTCAAGGTCACTATTACCTTGATACTGAAAACAGTTTCTGGAGAATAACATAAGTTCTATTTGGCCCGCAATATCCAAACTTCATAGGATGATTGTCCATATTGGGTAAAAGACCCCTATTGATTTTGGGGTTACAAGGTCAAAGTCACTATTACCTTAAATTTGAAAACAGTTTCAGGAGTATATCTAAAGTTCCATTTGGCCCACAATATTCAAACTTCTTAGGATGATTGTCCATGTAAGGTAGAAGACCCCTATTGATTTTGGGTTAACAAGGTCAAAGGTTAAGGTCATTTTTAATAACTTAAGTATTAATCAACCTATATCTGTAAAAGTTTATAGGATGAACAGCTAATTCCCATGTCTTACAAATGCTTCATCCTTACTATAAAAAAAACACTTTCGGGCATATAATGCTCCGCCTAGTGGTGCTCTTGTTAATTTGTTCTGTTTCATTCTTCTTGTTTCTATTAATACTAAGATAATTATTATTTGTCCCCAATCACATCATGTATGAGAATGTTCATAAGTCTATCATATTGATTTCAAGAATTGCCTCTTCTTTAGTTTAATACTCTTTCTTTTAAAAATGTTATATTCTGGTTATATCCAGGTTTTTTTTAAAGATTAACCTTCTGTCTGTCAGGTCCTGACTGTTTGTCTGTCTGTATGTCTGTGTCTGTCCCTTGAACTGTTTCTTTAATATAATATCACTTTGAAAGAAATTGAAACTTTTCCAACAAGTATACTGAAAATAGAGAAAACTTAAAACATTAGTTACACATTTTCATCCTGAGAAAATCGTTTTTGATTAACAGTTGTATAATCGTAATTTCCTCATTAGACAGGGAAACTTAACACATTAATTAACAGGTGTACGGACATTATAAGTCCCCTTACCTACCTGGACAAAATCTTCTTGTTTCATAGGTTTCTAATGTATTATTATGCTCTCCATAAAAATTGATGAATAATGAGCTTTTGTTTTTATGCCCCCGCCATGTAATGGCCAGGGCATATAGTGTTACCCTGTTCCGTCATTCTGTCATTCCGTCATCATCAGTTTCCGTTCATTATCTTAAGAACGGTTGCACACATTCAACTCAAATTTGACATATGGATATGTCATGAGAAAATACAGGTCAAGTTCGAATTTGGTCATGGTTCGATGACTTTTGGCAGAGTTATGCCCCTTTTACTTTGAAAACAATATGAAATTTTCAGTTTCCGTTCATTATCTTCCCAAAGGTACAACGCATTCAACTCAAACTTGACATATGGATATGTCATGAAAAAGATACAGGTCAAGTTTGAATTTGGTCATGGTTCGATGATTTTTGGCAGAGTTATGCCCCTTTTACTTTGAAAACAATATGAAATTTTCCGTTTCCGTTCATTATCTCCCCAAAGGTACAACACATTCAACTCAAACTTGACATATGGATGTGTTTTGGAATGCCCAGGCCAAGTTCGAATTTGGTCATGGTTCAATGATTTTTGGCAGAGTAATGCCCCTTTCACTTTGAAAATAATATGAAATTTACAGTTTCTGTTCATTATCTACCCAACAGTGTTACATATTCAACTTAAATTTGACATATGGATGCGTCAAAGTAATGCGCAGGTCAAGTTCAAATTTGGTCATGGTTCAATGATTTTTGGCAGAGTTATGCCCATTTCACTTTGAAAGTAATATGAAATTTTCAGTTTCCGTTTATTATCTCCCCAATGGTACAACACATTCAACTCAAAAAGACATATGGATGTTTTTGGAATGCCCAGGCCAAGTTCGAATTTGGTCATGGTTCAATGATTTTTGGCAGAGTTATGCCCCTTTCACTTTGAAAAAAATATGAAATTTACAGTTTCTGTTCATTATCTACCCAACAGTGTTACATATTCAACTTAAATTTGACATATGGATATGTCAAAGGAATGGGCAGGTCAAGTTGGAATTTGGTCATGGTTTGATGATTTTTGACAGAGTTATGTCCCTTTCACTTTGAAAATAATATAGATAAATCTTAGGAATAAGCAGTTTAAGTTTGAATTTGGTCGTGGTTCAATGATTTTAGACAAACTTATCTTTCCTGAATGTCGGAAAAATTTTGAACTTTCAGTTTCAGCACTCATACTTTTAGCCATTTTTTTGGCTACAAATATGCAATATCCTATTTTTAAAAGGTTAAGACTGAATCATTTCAGTGCCTTGAACATTGTATGAAAATGGTTTGTGTTAACATTGAAAAGTTTTAAGGGCTTTGAACTTAAAATGAAAAAAGTAATTAATGCACCATCTGAAATTTTGGGGCATCCGTGGCATTATGACACATTTCTAGTTTTTATTAGCTCACCTGTCACAAAGTGACAGGGTGAGCTTTTGTGATCGCTTTTCGTCTGGCGTCCGTCCGGCGTCCGGAAAACTTTTACTTAAAATGACATCTCCACATAAACCGCTGAGCCAATTTCATCCAAACTTCACAGGAATGTTCCTTTGGTGGTCACCTTTAAAAAATGTTCAAAGAATTTAATTCCATGCAGAATTCTTGTTGCCATGGCAACCGATAGAAAAAAACTTAAAATATCTTCTTTTAAAAAACCCAAAGAGGTAGAGCTTAGATATTTGGCATGAAACATCTTCTAGTGAGTGTCTATCAAGTTTGTTCAAATAAAAGCCATGGGGTCAAAATTGGCCCCGCCCCGGGGGTCATTGTTTTTCCCTATATGCATATAGTAAAAACTTAAAAAAATCTTCTTTTAAAGAACCCAAAGAGCTAGAGCTAAGATATTTAGCACGAAACATCTTCTAATGGGTGTCTACCAAGTTTGTTCAAATAAAAGCCCTTGGGTCAAAATTGGCCCTGCCCAGGGGGACATTGATTTTCCTTATATGTGTAAAATCTTAAAAATCTTCTTTGAAAAAAACCAAATAGCTAGAGTTTAGATATTAAGCATGAAACATCTTCTAGTGAGTGTCTTCAAAGTTTGTTAAAAAAAAAGTTCTGGGGGCAAAACTGGCCCCGCCCTAGGGATGTCATTGCTTTGAACTATATGTGTATAGTTATAACTTAAAAAATCTTTTTTTTAAAAACTCAACGAGCTAGACCTTAGATGTTTAGCATGAAACATCTTGTAATGGGTGTTTACCAAGTTTGTTAAAATAAAAACCCTCGGGTTTAAACTGGCCCCACTCTGGGGGCCTATATACAGGTGAGCGACTTTTAATTAAAGACTTTTTTTATTTGTTCAGATCAATTATCAACCAAATTATCATTAAATTTAAAACAATTCAATAAGTGTAGCAGTGTTCATTATAATTGTGGTAAATTACCAATTGCATGACAAATATGATTAAAATAGAATAATGAGACAAATTGTGTTTTTCATTATTGTTGAAGTTTTAAAAGTCAAATCATCAATGCCATCATTTTATTTATTTAAAACAATTCTTATAATTTCAAATACACTATTTATTGTAACAACTTATCTATAAATTCTGAAAGGTGAGGAAGAAATGAATTGTGCAACACTGTCCATCTAGCACAGGCCTTAGCTGTATAGAACTGGTGTTAAAACCAAATTATTTCGAAAAAAGTACTAGCAATCACCAAACAGCATAATGCAGTATGTCGCTCTCATACCCACTTCATAAACAGAAAATTCATCTGAGTGGGGACTTTGTCCTAGGTAGCAATTTAATTGAGGGGATTTTGTCCACTTCAAAATTTCACACATGAAGGGGATTATGTCCACCCATGGACGGGATTATGTTCAGATATACAAAAATACATGAAGGGGATTTTGTCCAAAGGGGATTTTGTCTGACATTCTAATTTACAATAATACAGACAAACAAAAATTCAAAATATTTAAGTTCATTCATGTCTTCCACAATGTCATAATTGAATGACCAATGTCCCTTCATAATGTTGCTGGGGTTCTTAACAGTAGGGGACTTATGTATTGCTTGCAATACTTTGATAAATGCTTGTTATCTTTTATACCCTCCTGATAATGATACATAAATTTATTTATATCAATTTTTTTCCATAGTTTTGTCTCCCTTTACTATGTCCAGTATTTAATTTGTCAAATAGTCTTCTGACAGCTCTTGTTTATGTATGTGTTTTTCAGAAAACCTGTTTATGAGGATGAAGATGATTATGGTATGTTTTTATTTATATTAAAGTTATGTTTTTACTCCTTTAACTCAAGTAAAGTCTAATCAAAAGCAAATATTTCTACACATTGTGTGAATTCATACATAAGCCCATTTTACTTTGAATGGAAAGCCTTCTAGTGTTAGAAAGTTTTAACATAGATTTTTATGAAAATAAAATGTACAAGGAACATTTTTTTAAGGGTAAAAAGTTTCTAGAAAGATCATCATTGCATAAATCTAAACTACTATATCTTAGTGTACGTAATCTTTCATGATTGTAACTTTTAACTTGATCTCTACAGTAGAGTTCAAAATTAAGTTTCCACCCTTGTGCACTTGTAGAAGTGCACACCATCTTCAAGTGCACTAGATCAAATGACTGGACAGGGTGACATATTTTTGTTTAATAGATCATTGCATAGCAATTGACAAGGGTAAAGTCATATATGGATTACTTTTGTAAGAATATATTTAACTCTTTGGGATATATTCATTCATAATATTGAATAATCAGATTTCTAAAACAATTTATATTTATTAGAAATCTCAGGGCTGGGAATCAAAACTGCGTCGTATCCTACAAATTGTAAACAAACGCCGCCATCTTGGAACGAAAAACGTATGTTTTTGTTTATAACTCTTTTTGTTGGAAATGACTGAAAACCAGATATATGTATTAACACGCTACACTATTTTCCGCTTCGTTCGGTATATGTTGCTTGCACAACTATTTTGTAAAACAAAAGTTATAGCGAACTTGCAATTCGAAGCGGGGCAGAATTTTTATGAAAATGTGTGGATACGACGCAGTTCATATTGCTTTATCTATCGTTTTTTCCTTCTAATCAATTATATATTTGTTTCCGAGTTCACCATAAACTTTGAAATATAATTTTGGATCATTTACTAAACTTTCATTAAAAAGAGATGTTTATTTTTTAAGAAAATAATGATTTTTACGAAATGATACGACGCAGTTGAAAATGAAATATGATACGACGCAGTTGTATTTTTGGCAGTCTTTTCAACAGGGATCATTTTGGCAATTTATTTCTATTTTATGGAATAATCACTTGCGCTAGATAAAAAAATCCAGATCATTTGCGGTGTATAGCAATGTTCTGTTGCTTTTGATTATTAAGAATACATTGTGTCATGTCCTATATAACATTTAATTTGAAAGTTTACATTATGGAAGCTTCTTTTCAGTTCAACATGAACATGTTACCTAATTAATCATAATATCTGAAATAATTTCTTATATTTTCCTGTATGTTAAATGTTATCCCTATTTTTTTTCGCAAAAAAATGAAGAAATCTATGAACTTGAATTCATTTTGGCTAGCTACGCTCTAAGTTAACTGTGGTATTGCATGTTCTGGGTAATGACTGCTTTTTTTGTGGTTTCTTTTCAAACTTTCACTCTACACATTAGCTTTACTTCGGGCGAGGACCTCAGGTGCGCCGTTGTGCATTATTTCAGGCAAAATGCTGCACCTGCAGAGAACCATCGACATTTTGAAACTAGCTTGATAGGTTTTCCACATGAAAGAATAAAAAGTCCCTGGTGGTTTTCGAATTCATAGCAGTTCAGTTCAAGTGATTTGAATTCAGTAAACATAAACAGCTTGGCCTCGGTCGGACACACCTGTCTGATTTGTTTTTTCAACAAAATTTGTTAACGTCTGACAGCTGTACAAATAAGCAGCTTTTTTATTAACTTCTGGCGTGAAGTTTTAAGATTATAAATATTTGAATTAATTATAAAAAGAATAACATTTAAATTTCTTATTTCGGTATGACTAACAGAGAAATTTTCAATGTAAACAGGGGGTTATCCTCTGTGAAGTCATTTTCTGAAAACTTTTGTTTAAGTTTTCAGGCAATTCATTATCAAATAAAAATCACACTTTAGTATGAAGGTATGTTAAGATGTCATGTCTCTAGTCTGTTGAAAATTCGGTGCAATAATCTGACCTAAATTTTCTGTTCAATATTGTGAAAACTTCTTCACTACTGTTAAAAGATCTTGTCTGCCTATATCTGTGTGCACAGCGTAAAAATACCTTTGCAAAACGGACACCTTCTTGACAAAATAATTTGTAGTTGTATCATATGTAACTCGATTTTGAAAATTTAAAGTTTTTTGATGGAGAAGAATGATACTTAAGTGCAAATATAAAAAATACATTCCGTAGACCTTTCCCAACGGCGATAAAGAAATGCAATACGACAATATCAGCGGTAAAGTTCTCGGCGCTGAACATAAAATGACTAAACGGAACGCATAACCTACTTGCAAAAATATATTGTAGCTTAACCATTTATAAAATAATTTTAAAAATTCAATGTTCAGTTTCAAATAATAAATCTCATCTGTCCTCACCGATTATTAAGAAAATGAATACAATAAAATCGGCACGTAAAAGACATAAGTAATAACGGAATTGACGGAAATTATTGATAATTACAAGTAACAAAGGTAGGCATGCAATTTGCGCATAGCGAGAGACCTTTTCAAAATGTGTAATTCTTTCTCTTTTTTTTTTAAAAAAAAGTTCATTCCTGATTAATACAGGGTCCAGGAGAGGTTACACTGGAATATTGAGTTTTGTATCAAAAATATTAATCACTCCCATTTCGAACTCATGGGAACAAGTTTATAAGCATGCTAAGGCAACACTAGAACACGTTGTCATATGGGTGTGCGATCACGTGTTTCAATGTATATTGCATATGAATCCAAAAAGAACAACCACACGCGTACATTCAGTTATTTTTTATTCAAATCGATGTTCTTCGTCAGTGAATAAACAGGAAGTGAATAAACAGGAAGAGACGTCACACGACGTCAACGTCCAAGATGGCGGAAAATATACATTGTTACGTTACGTTATATTAAAATCCATTAAAAAATTAATAAAGTTAATAAAGATTTCGATATATATATATATAAACATTCACGGATCCGTGAATTTCATAATACTTGTAATGTATATTGCATTTGATACAGCTTTTCGGAATTTGTAGATGCTTATGATAGGTAATAAAATGCAACCGAAAAATGCAGCCTTAATAGAATTGTATTACATTTCCATTTTTATGAAACCAATGAGTGACCTCTGCTTTTGACTTAAGTCGTAAACAAGAAATGTTGTTGGACGTTATAAGCATACCTAGCACATAATTTAAATAGTTTAACCAATATGCAGCCTGCAATGAAAATACAACTGCGTCGTATCATATTTTAATTTCAACTGCGTCGTATCATTTCGTAAAAATCATTATTTTCTTGAAAAATAAACATCTCTTCTTAATGAAAGTTTAGTAAATTATCCAAAATTATGTTTTGAAGTTTATGGTGAACTCTGAAAACGAGTATATAATTGATTTGAAGGAAAAAACGATAGATAAAGCAATATGAACTGTGTCGTATCCACACATTTTCATAAAAATTCTGCCCCGCTTCGAGTTGCAAGTTCGCTTTAACTTTTGTTTTACAAAATAGTTGTGCAAGCAACATATACCGAACGAAGCGGAAAATAGTGTAGCGTGTTAATACATATATCTAGTTTTCAGTAATTTCCAACAAAAAGAGTTATAAACAAAAACATACATTTTTCGCTCCAAGATGGCGGCGTTTGTTTACATTTTGTAGGATACGACGCAGTTGTGATTCCCAGCCCTGAATCTGTTATTATAAGAATGTTAATATCTTGTGCTATTTTCTCTTACTTTTATAGAGTAACATCACTTTTGTACTTTCTGTTTTTAATAACGTTTTTTATTTTTTTTTACAAGAAAAAGAGAAAACAACAACATGGTAAATGTTTACTATTTAGAAAATAAATGATGAAACAGAATTCAAGTTTGTATGTTTTCAAAATGTATTTTAATGTTTTGGGAATTATGGCCACTCGAGGAATACCAACGTGGATAACCAACATGGTTTTAGTTTTGGAAAAAAATAACTGTACTTAAAACGAAAATGTTAGTCATATATTAATTCACCAACAAATAGCCAAACATTAACCAAATACTAGTCACTAAGTTACCAAAGTTCTTTTTAGCTCCCAGGCCAAAGGGCCCAAGGTGAGTTTATAAGAAATTTAAAAATGGGGATACTCCCGGATTCCGTCGTCATGGGGTTAAAACCAATCGTCTTTTCTCTGAAATTGGGGGCAGAGGGAAAAATTTGGGTCGGAAAGCACCCTTTTTGACAGCCCCTTTTAAAATTTGCTTTCTTGTCTTTAAATTTGGGCCCTTTTTAGGGGTAAACCAGAGTTTTAAAAAAAGGGAACCCTTTAAACATTTTCTAACTACAAAAACTAAAAGAAGGTTGGATCCCCAAACTTTTTTCTTTTTAGTCTTGGGTAGTTTTTAAAATTTTGCTCATATTTTTCAAATTCCCCCCTTTTTAGGGGTCCCCTGGGCAAAAAAAAACCCCTTTAGAACCCTTTCTTCTAAAAGAACAAATTAAACGATAATCATAAAAACTTTGTTGAAAGCATTTTTGGGGTAGTTTTTTATCAATTTTGCTCATTTTAATTTTGGGCCTTTTTTGGGGGCCCCTTTATAGCTAAAAATAAAAAAACCCCAAAGACATTTTCTCCTCCCAAACAAATTGAGGGAAAATAATCTTTCTAACTTTGTCTGAAAGTTTTTTCTTAGGTAGTTTTTTTTATCAAGTTTGCTAAATTTAAAATTTTCTTGGGCCCCCTTTTGGGGGTCTCTATGGGTTTAAAAAAATTAAAAAAAACCTTTTTAAGCCCATCTTTTTCAACAGTATTTTAAATTTAAATGGATTTTAAAAATTTTTTCTGTAGCTATTTCTTGGGTTTTTTTTCAAGTTTGCTGATTTTAAATTTTATGTTTTTGGGCCCTTAGTGGGGGCCCCGGTAAAGCTAAAAAAAAAATCCCTTTGAAAATTTTCTTCAGCACTAATTGGTGGATAATCATCAAACTTTGTCTGCAGCATTCTTAGGAAGTCTTTTTT